ACACCGAAATACAGGGGCCGCACATTTGCCCTGCCTTACATTGTTCAAATCCTGGTTTGGCTCCTTCGGTGAAAAGGTAAGTACCTTGAAAGCGGGGCATCATAACATTCATTTTTATGATCCACCATTTGAAATTGGAACACCATGATCAGCCCAAGCATTCATTTTAAAGCGATGCAAGATTCCAGGGGCACTTAAAATTGCCCCTAAGGCTTTATTTTCGCGGGGAACCGAATTAAGCACGATTCCCCCCTCTCTTAGGCCCGAGGGTCCCATAGGTTCCGAAGATTATTTTTTGGTCCCTTGGGGCCGAAGATCAAGAGCCTGATGAAAGGGTCCGAAGGGCAGGCCAGAGGTCGTATGGAGGGATCACAGCCCGAAGGCCGGACGCTAAAATGCAAGAGTAACTCTATGAGTGCTCGGAGACCCGTGTGACTCTGTCTCTATTTGAATCAACTGACTGAGAACAGCCATGTCGAACAGTCCGTCCCGTGCTATTCTGGGGCCTAGCACTTATTTCCCGAGCAGAGACAAGGGCAAGATCTCTAAATGCCAATTAGAGGGCATCCTACATTCATCGGGACACCTGAGACAATAAAGAACCCACAGTGCTGGTCAGTGGCCACAGTTCCTAGCAGGAGACCGTGTGTCCGCGATGAGCCCCAGGTCGACCAGGAACACATTTGCTGAATAGGTACGATAATGGGCCCTTGTATATCAAACGACCTATTGTGCTGGTCTGGTCTGGACCCTCCTGACAATGAAAAGACTCATGAGAAACAAAAAGGGGTTCTCATGTACAATGAGACAGTGGAGAGGCCTTTGCCAGTCAGGGACACCGGAACCGGACAAGGGATCCTCTGCATCATTTCATCCAGAGACCGATAAGGTGAATTAGTGTCTCGATACCAATGATTGGACTTCTTGTGCCAGTAAAGAGTCTGTTTGCATCAGCCAGGGCCCCCGCGCCGATCCGTTTCTGAATGTCTCGGTTAGAGGGCCAGCCGCATCGAGGAGGGGACCGGTTGTGATGCATCCCTCTAAAGAGTCTCCGCACGGTCCTGGGAGCTTTCACGAGACTAAAAGCCGCTGGAAACCCCAGATGGGACGTAATGCGCTTCAGCTGCTGACCAGAACGTTTTACCAATGCAATTTAATTGACTGACCAGTCGATTCTCTGAACGGGTTCAGCGTTGCAGCATTATGAGCAGCAAGATAGATTACGCCCTTGCGCCTTCCCATTTGGCCTTCCCGCAATCAGTCCCGACTACCAATCTAAAAATTGCACTAGTGAAACATCCGGCAAGGGACACCTTTTACACACACATCCATTAACTTCATAAAGCGTTGGAAAGTACCGAATTCGACGCGTGGTCATTTCCACACGTCTGTTGATCACTGCCAGATGTTGCTGCAGAGTTCCGTATGCTGCAATGGTACATGTACAACATTTTTGTTCCGACGTCTCACAGAGCACCTCACGGAGGGGGCACCAAGGAATCACGTACAGCCCGGCCACAACACTCTTCCCGCGCGCCGAGCGTTTGCACAAAACACTGCAATTCTACCCTCTACACACAAAGCAATGAAATTCAACATTCTGCATGCATTTCTCATTCATGACCACAAACGACTTCCAAGCAAAAAATAAATCAAACTACTGAATTATCTTTTTAGAGCAGTATCACAAATGAATCACTTGGACAGGGAACAAGACACCGATGAATGGCGCTAGTATTGAGTGATTGGCACGCAGTGTTGTGATTTGCTATGTTGATTGTGTTAATCGCAGTGTGTGGTACTACTGATGTCTTCTGCACGGCTAAAGAACTGTTTGTTGTTGCCAAGTAAAAACGACAGTGAGTGTTGTTCAGTGAAAAGTTTATTGTTGGTTTGCGTACTCGTGTTTTATGCCCTAATTTAAAGTGTTTCAGGCGCCGAAATGAAGTGAAGAGCCAGATATATAGAGGAGTCAGTCAGCAGTCATATGCCGTGCAAGCTCTTCGAACTTTGCGCGTCTGTCATCATAAAAGTGTGGGTATGTAATATATATATATATATATATATATATATATATATATATATATATATATATATATATATATATATGTATATATATATGTATGTATAGATATATATATATATGTGTGTGTGTGCGTGTATGTATGTATGTATGTATGTATGCATGTATACATCACTATTGAACACTCTGTGCGATTCGGGCAAAAACAGCGGGCAGAACTAACACAACACCATATCGGAGTGATTAGAAGCAGTTAACTTCACGGTAACTAAATCTCCACACATGTACACCGCGAAAATGTTAGAAAACTGAAGAAGGTCTCTTACTTTGTGAGCTCCCTAGAGTTCAGGTTTCTACCCGCCAGAAATCCTCATATTCCGGCCAATGAGTTTTAATATTCATATGTATGCAGTTTGTATACGGGAGCCTAGCTTACTGTGCACAGCCCTAGAAAACTAGGCGTGCTTCGTACGCAAATACATGGAACATGTTCGTTTTCGTCGAAACATGGTGAATCCTGTCATTTTAAGGCTAATTATTTCGAAGAAAACATGGCAACATACACTTAAAATGGCTGCTAAATACCATCAAAATCGAGCGCAAGCTTAATTCCTAGCTTATATACGGTTAGCGGGGTAGCTGATGAGATCAGTTGATGGATGAAGACCAATACAGAGTTTTTGCTTTGTCTGTCGCGAGCCAATACAGAATATCCTTTTCTTCAAAATATATTTAAACGTAACGCAGAAAAAGAATAATCGTCACAAACTGAACAAGCAGCAAAACTAAGATGCACGGCGTCGGCGGCGTGTAAAATTATGTTCGACAATGACAAGAGCGAATTCATCGGCGTAATCAGCCGCAAATTCAGTCATCGGTCGGTAAGAAGTAAATCCCCAAGAAAAATTATCAAGATTTAGGTCCCCGTCAACGGCGTAGGCCCTCCCATAATATGGAAAAAACCCGAGACTTAAAAGGACGGCACCCGAGCAATCGAAGCTGCCGTGGCAGGCCAATAAAGAGGCTCTAGTGAACAGTAAATAGTCTTCATAACAAACGAGAAGAACCTTACACCAATATGGTGGGACTCCTGAACGATCGGGAGCACCCCGGCACGCCAACATATAGGACTCGGTCGGAGTACAGGATGCCCTGAACAAAGGGCAATAACCGAAGATCAGTGTGCATGAATTAACACCCCTGTGTAAACAAGAGTGCCCGGGCAGGTTAACAAAAAGTGCTCTGACAAGTGAAGGGTCCCCAGCAAATAAGCTTAAAAAGGGAAAGAGCCATAGGTCAATGAAGAGGGCCCCTGAACATCGGGTGCCTCGGAGCCTGGTGACTTTATATGGGGCGCAAGAGCATGGGGTATTCCAAGCAAGTGGAAAGAACCCGATACCAATATGAAGGGCCACGAAGCAACCGAGTGTACCCCGGCATTTGGGGTCCCGGCAGCAGCGGCGGGGCGGTAGAGCCCGCTTGTCCCGCAGGCGCGGCGGTCCCCGCCGAGCCCGCGCCGCCGCCCGGCGCGTCTGCGCCCAGTCCGCTGGTGAGCCCCGGGGCCGCGGCCGCGCCCAGGCCGGACACGGCCGCCAGGTGTCTAGGTTATTTATAGTAACCATGCCTGACTGTACGCATCACGTCATCATCAGTAGAATGCCAGATTGACTGTGCCTCTGTTGACAAAAGAGAGAAATAGCGGCAGGACTCAAAGATGCTTCCGTAGTATCATCTAGCGGCAGGAATCCAAACTACCCTGGTTGCCATGGATACTGGACGTTTTGAACAGTGGACTTTACGACTCTGGACTTTGCAACTCTGGACTTTGCGTCCCTGGTTCTTATAAACACCCGCAATGAGCACGGAATTGCTGGACGACATGAACACTGGACGCTGCGATCACGGACTTTATGATGGCTCCCCAATCCAATTGCCGAAAGGAGGGCACCTAAGCAGCGAAGTGGGTCTCTTCGGTTGAATGATCACTCCAGGCCCGATTAGCCCCTTACTGCGTGCGCTTCTGGTTACGTGACTGTTGATGGCTTTGGAACAAAATAAGTTAAACAAAATTGATTAAAAAGAACCAGATTCTAATACGATCCTGCGATTCAAGTCTCGTCACTGCCAAGGGTGGATGGGTGGATCCCGGGGGGGGGGGGGGGCATAGGCCGTGCACCCCCTCCTCCTCCCTTGGTTCTCACGAGGCTTTGGTACCCCGAAAGAGGCCAAAATGTTATTTGTAATCAGCATCAAAACTTTCATTCATTTATCACATGAATCTTATCGCCATGAGGCATCAAATACTAAGTGCACCAACCACAAGGTCCTTGCCGCGTCCCTTGCCGAATTCTGGACTGGCCCAGACGACGAATTATCACCAAAACCTTCCTCTCAGGGCGCCATGATCTTTATTTCTAGAGGCACTCAATTTCAGACACCAAATTTTCAACGGGCATGGAATTCAAGTCCGCCTTTGCAAGGGCCCAAAACATTATGAACGTTTTGAAACGGAAACCTTATGCACCAAGCCATATGAACAGAGCCCAGGTCGAAGGACGGACCTCAAAATGTCAGTCAGAGGGTCTCCTGCACCAACCGGGGGCACCCTGGTGCAGTGAGGGCTTCCATGCCAGTGGGCTTCCTTCCATGCCAGTGAGATAATAAATACCAAACTGTCGGCCCTATCCTAGTGGGAACCTCAGGGCCCCTTTCAAGGATTTGTGCTTCGTTCGGGGCGGCTGCAACGGTAAAGGGCTCCTTTATTGGTCGAGACCCTCGGTGCCCAATGTTGGGCCATGCGTCTGGAGGGACTGAGAAAAAAATGCGCTTTTTGTTTTTGTAAGTGAATTTATCTCCTTCAAAAAATGATCAAATTTGGCAGCAATTTATTATTTCATATTGTACGCTATGGCTACCATTGCGGCGCGCAAAGTTGTTTAAGCATCGGCTGTAATATTGCTCGCAGAGGCGAGTGAGTTGTTCGAGGTGATTGAAATTGCATTAGTTGTGGTATCCGGCTCTTTGGGATAAGGGACATCCTTTGCCAATGATTCACTGAACCTCCGGCCCTATTCCAGCCTGGTGGTCCATCTGTCATAGGTGAGTGATGGCGCACATGTTTATGAATCTGTTCACCGGTAGGTTCCTGTTGATAAATACTTGATGAGCCTCCTTTTGCTGCTCACCCTCGAAGGAATGTGTTTTGGAATTATTGTACAGGGTTTCATGTACGTGTTATTAACTATGTGACATCAGCATGCATTGCCTCACTTTTCAGCTGTGTCTGAAATGTTGGTATTTATTTTGGTGTCTGATAATAATGGTTGCATCTTGATGCATGAAATGATGGTGGGATGTTTTTCACTGACTTGCCATGGTAAAAGTAAGTGAATGACCTATCCAGAAAAATTGATGTGACTGATTCCAGAGTTTTTAACTTGTATACCTGGAGCTAGCTATTCAGCTAACTTAAACATTACTTTGAGTTAAACATTGCATGTGTCACCTTACAGCTACCAGTTAAAATTTGACATGACATCTTGCAAATATCAGGCACAATTGGGTGTGGCATCTTGCAAATCCCAAGATGCAAAATGTTACAAGTGCACATTTCAAGTGTGTATTGCGCAGCAAAGTGCCACGCTAGTGTGCATGCACTGTGTGCCGAGTAGAATGTTTCATATGATGTTTTGCAGGACTGTTTAAGGTATCATGAAATGTTTTGTGAAGGTATACACAATGTAAGAAGTGTTTTGTGTCAACATATTATGTCACACATTTTTGATGATTTAAATGGACAGCTTCCAATCTCTTTCTTGCCTAAATCCCTGTTTCTGCATTCATGCACCAATGTCACACATAAGAGGCCTGAAAGATGTTTTTTGGCAGGAAAACCTTGTATGTATAGCATATATAGGGTTGTCGTACTTGAAGTCATGATGAGCATACACACCTAGCACCTGAATATTTCAATAAATTTGTTAGAATAATATCTTTATTTGGTATATTTACTATGAGTGGTGCTGCTGTCTTTTATTTGGTATTCATGAGGTCTGGCCATTTCCCTTGAGATCTGGCCATCTGGCCATTTTACTCAAATATCAACTTCTGGTAATGTACCATAGTACATCAAAATGTTGCATAGCTATCAAGGCTGTAGGATTTGGGTTGGGAGGGGACAACAGCTTAGCATCATTTAAGCTTTGATAAAACTCTGTATGATGTGCACTTTCCACCTGGGGACAAGCTTTTCATAAGCTGCATGGTATGCTGTAGTGGTGAAGATTTTATTTGAACTGCATTTTCCTTGCTGTTTCCCCATCTCTTGCCAAGTTATTCCTATCTAGGGGCAACAATGTGTGTAAATACTTGTGGAGCTAGAGGGCCAGCAACCTTGCTTCCTCCATCTTTGCATTTATCAACACATGTAACATTCTGTATTGTCACAAACTGCAATTTCCACTGCTTGTTTCTTGTATCATTACCAAACACCCATTTATTTGAGCAAGATTTATGGTAGTCATGACCATCAAGTGATACCCAAAGCATGTTGGCTTTGTGCATGCTTTAACTTTGTTTGAAATTTTGTTACAAGGAAGCAAAACAAAAGGGTACAAAACAACATGGGTGATGCATGAAGGGTGGGCACAACATGACGTTTGTAGTGGGGAGGCCCTAGAACCCCAATCATGGTCAGAGACATCGAGGGTGTATATGCAGGGCATCAAAAATGTGTTATTTTACGTGATGTCACATAGAATCTTTGCGGGATGTGCTCACAGTGTGACACGTGTTCTGTTAAGTGACATCTTCATGACTGTCATGACTGCGTATACCAATAAGCTAAAATATTTTTTTTTAGAAATCGTCTGCGCCGAATATGTGGCCCGACTGACCTGCCTTAGGTCAGTGACCTTACAAGGTACATCTAAACTGTTCAATTGTTTACACCTATGCAAAATCGTCGCTGGAAAACCATTCCAAAAAACCCTCGGGGGTCAAATTGCCCCCTCCTTACCCGAGCGGGTGTTAAGATGATTAGCATACGTGGTGCATCACTGAGATGCAGACCAATGTGCGACTGGAGGCGGTGCTTTACCGATGCCAACGGCACGGATTCTTTGCGCAAAACGGGGGCATGAACCACATCTAAGTAATAGCCATTGGTGTATGGCCCGAGGGCGCGGAATAGCATTCGAAGGAACAGTATCCGAGGGAGTCGTGTGTGTGCAATAGCATGCAATGTTTACTCAGGGGCGTAGCCAGGGGTGGAAGGTGGGAGTCATTGCCTCCCTGAGTCCGTAGTTCTTACATCAGATGCTGTGGGGGATTTCGCAGCGATTCATTCCAAAATGCAGGAGGTTCGAGTTTCTAACATTGCCCCTGCCCCCTTAGAGGAAAGTTATGGCTGCATGGTAGTGCCCGTATTAACTCAAGTGTACTTCTTATTGTTGATACATTAGTCAACGTGACGTTGGCGGAGAAGCTACCGACGCTGATAGCATATCTCCTTCGCGCAGCGAAGGAAGCAGGAATCCTGTTTGAATCCAAATGAGCTGTGTGAGAAAGCTGCAATTGATACACCGTCGTTAGCTGTCTTCAACAGGGCAAACATAAACTGCATGCCAGGCATTCAAATATGCCATCAAAATTGCGTTAGTTCGTCTTCTCGTAAGCTCTTCGGACCCAGCGTGACCAGAAGGAAGGCAGGAGAAGAGAGCATGTCCTGTTTGCGGCTACGACACATCCGATAAACATCACACGCGTTTCACGTCCATCACGCGCAAAAATGTGACCGCACCGTGTGAGCCGACCGACACACGAGCCGACACACCATGTGTCATGCGATGTGAACCGACCGTGTATGACATGTGACTGCCTCGTTCCGGTAAAGCGGTGACGAATCCCGCGAGTGCGACGGTGGGCGCCGTCCCGCGGCGCGGGCCGGCCGCCGGCCGTACGGGGGCCGGTCGCGGCCTCACAGCGTAGGCGGGTATGGCCGTCCTTCGGCGGCCTTGCGCGAGAGGTGGGGAGCGTGCCGCTGGTCATTGGCCCCAGCCGATGTCGTCAGCCGGCGCCTGCGGCGGGGGCTGCCGGCGCCGCCCGGCGCCCCTGCCCCGGCCCGGCCTCGGCCTCGGCCCCGGCCCCGGCCCGTCCCGGCCCGGCGTACCATCCCCCCGCACGGTCAGCCCTTCTGTCCGCGCTCTTTGTTCGCTTGCCTGGGTTTCCCACATGCGCGGTGTCGGCGAGGCACGCCGGTACCCCTTTGTTTGCTGCTTTGTTTTCGCCGCCGGCGCGCAGGTTGTACTTGAAGGTCGCCGCAATGACGCGTAGACAGAGTGTAATCAGACGACGGATATGCATTGTAACGCCGTTTTTTGGTGAACGTTTAGACTATGGCCCATAACATGCATTAACTAATGGGTATGATGTTTCGGACGAAAATGAGGGAAAATGCTTACGAAAATACTTGGAGCGCACTCAGTTGCTACGCTAACTGCTGGTTTCCAACGCGGTCGCCAAAGGACATGAATTTCTTAACGTGGCGAGCTGATTTACCAAAACTTTACTTTTTTGTTGCATTTTTAGTGCGTTGGGAATATCAGCACAGCTCTGATTCCCATGGCATCTATCTTTTTGCCAGACGTTGTTCTTTCGTCGTACTCCAAAAGCTTTCGGTTTCAACAAGGGTTCAATGGGACCACCGATTTATCACCACCAGCTTCAGCCTAAGTCTGAGCGAGCAACCAATTTATCACCTATGTACACGCCGCGGAGTTCCCGGCCTGCCAAACACGGCTTCATTGGGTGAAATAGCCGCCCGCTCAGCGAGATCCGGGACAGCAGGCGGGGATTTGAGCGCGACAGATGCTGCTCAGCCTGCGCCATTATTGCCCGATCTTGTGAAGTGGCCCGGAAGCCACACGAAACTCGAACTTTTAGATTAAATTGTGCTGTGGTATTTGCATGAGGCATGTTTGTGAGGCATGTTTGTAACCAGCAACTCGTAAATAAGCACATGTATGAAACATCAATTGGCAGTGCCATCACAGAGCAATGTTATCAGACAACTCTGAAATGCACAGTTTGCAGACCTGCAAGATACTATGTTCATTACATTCTCAAATATCCTTAATGATTATGCATGAATATCCGCTATATATTGATGGACGTAAAGAGATGTCTTCATCAAGTCATACACAGACATGTAAGGCAGACTTGAGACGGACAGATTGATGTCCTCTTAACGTGGCGGTTTAGTCTGACAGCATGGATGGTCTTGGTAGCGTACAAAGTACACTTTTGTGTTGTCTTCATACCAGAAACAACTGGCCATCAAATGTACCGTGAGATGCTGGCAAACCCTCGCGCCGACAGGGCTTCGCACTAATCAAGAACTGACCGAGGGGGGGGGGGGGCTGGACGCGGGCAGGTACCTGACCCCTTGCTATCCATTATCCACGGGCAGGATAGAGGTGCGGATGGAATTTAAACATCGTTTGAGAGACTATGGAATTATGACTTCTTGCTTGTATTATGTCGTAATTTTATGCCAGATCACACGACGTCATCTATTCATTTTTTATGTAGTACGTCAACAATCATCCCACAATTCGTCTGCCGTTTCACTCTTATGACAACAGAACGGCTTGCTTAGCTGCACCACTGTTTTAGTGTAGTGATAGTACTACAGCCAGTGTAGTGGATCAGCTGCGCGTCTGGCAAACCAAAGGTACGGGGTTCGATTCTCCTCGGTGCCCGCCCTTCCTGCCAAGGTTAGAGGCGGGTGACGCCATATATATGTATATATATATATATATATATATATATATATATATATATATATATATAACCTCAGCAGTTAAGTGCGTCGGAGAGCCGCAATAACGGTGTAGTATTGGATTAGCAATGCAAATGACGTTTTTACCGAAATTCAACCACGGCTGAGCCCATAACTGAGCTAAAACTTGTCTAGGTTATTTTACTGGTATAATTGACCGGAGAATGTCGGAATGAATTTTTATGGTGTGCGATAAGGTGAGAACAGCATAAGGAGAATGGCGCGGGCCGTTTTACACTTATTCTATAAAAAAATCAGG